GGAAAAATCCCCTGGCTATGTTTTGCTATGATTTGAAGATTCCCCCTGTAGGGGGACAGGCCCGACTTAATGCTATCTCTCTCCAGCACGAGGGACAACTAGCGATCGGGCCGACCTGCCCGACGCCGTCTGCGACAGAGTCCTTCGCGGGCGCCGCGGCGCCCCAGATCTCGCACCACTCGTGCTGCAGCGACTCGACTTGCCCACCTAGCCCCATACGGGGCCCCGTCAGGTCCTGGGGCCGACGGCTTCCATCTCACAGGCGATCATGTGAAACGGCGGGTTTTTTTTGTTTTTCTGGCCCCCTTGCCACAAGCATTCGCAACCCACCTCCTTTAAGCCGAGCACATGGCCCTCGCGGAGGCCTGCTCCAAGCAGGAGGCGAAGTGCGTTGCCCCACTCAAAAGCTCATCCAACTGCGTGCCTGCGAGAGCCAAGGCGCCCTCGAAGGCAGGGCGCCTCCATCTCCAGACATCAATCCCCTCATCGGGCGGTCTACTGCCCTGGATCTTGGAAATCAAAGACATGCAGCGCTGAGAGAATTATCCGCCAGACTGTCGGACGATGAAAACCAGCTCCTGAAGCCCGATGGAGACGTTCCTCCAGCCCCGAGCCCTGACGCAAGAGAGGGCACACGGGCCTCCAGAGGTCTGCAACCCATGTACCCCCGCACAACTTCCACCCTCGCCCCCGGCCTCGGCACTTGCGTTCATCTGGGCCCTGGAAACCATGAGCGGCAATCAGTTACGTCTCGGCGAGATCGAAAAACATCTGGCACACACGATCTAAGGCCTCCTGCCCACAACTGCTGGCATCGCCTCCCCACTGCAACACTGCATCCTCCACGGGGCCCCAGTCAGGCGGCGCTGGCGCCGGGCACTTCGGGGGCCGCGCAGGGGGCCTCCTCGGTCCAGCCGGGGCCGAATACACTGTGCGGACCAACTTAGACCGTAGCCTCAGGGCAACAAGATAGCGGGGCGCGATACTAGTATCGCGCGCAACTTCGACCTCCTCGATCGACGGGGCCTGTCCAGACGACGCAACGAGATAGCCGAGCTCCCGCCAAACACGTCCCTTCCTATACGTGGCATAGCCGCGCGCAGCAACGCATCCCCCCACCTTGTCAACCCAGCCGAAATTCCTAAGCTGCGACGGTGGCCAATTCCAGTCTCCTCCGATCACAGAAAGCAAGCGGAGCGAATGAAGCACTTCCCCCAATCGAAACAGAACTTGCGCACCCTCCTCCCGCAGTCGGGGGCCCTGTTGGCAAATGCAGCGAGACAGCTAGGAACGCCCCCGGGATGGTACTACTGATCCACGACAACGCGGCTCTCGGCGCCGAGGGCAGCAGCTTGCCCTTCCACGGAAGCGAAGAGATCCCAGCATGCAGTGGCACTGCGATCACCACTCCTGACGACAACCCCCCGCCTCAGTGATACGGCTCAGACTAATCATGGCGAACCACGATCAGCTCCTTAACTTAGCCTCACTCTCACCCTTGGCAAGGGGGGAGATCCCAACCCCCTGCAACAGAACAACAGCTGCACTTGGCGCCTCGTGCTCCAGGAACTACTGGCAGTTGCACCAGTCACTGGCGTTGGCCGTCAGGACGGCGCAAACATCGGGGCGAGCCGCCCCATCCCTGCTACCCTCGCTTCTCCTGCGCGCAGTTCTGAACCGCCGCTGCTGCTGCTGCTGCTGCTGCTGCTGCTGCTGCTGCTGCTGCCTTGCCTCCTCCTCCTGCCGCAGGAGCTCCTCCTCCCTTCTTCCCTGTTGCCCCACCCTTAGACGCAACTGCTTTGGCAGCCTCGAATAGCTCCTCAGTGGTCTTAGGGGCGGGGAGGGGGCCCAGTGCTCGACGCGGGGGGAGGAGCTGCTCATGCTGGCTGAACTTCTGCTAGGCTGGCCGCTGCTGCTGAGGCTGGATAAGCTGGCTGCTGCTGCTGCTGTGGCTGCTGCTGCTGAATACAAGAGCCCCCAGAGCCAACGCTATTGCCAGCGCCAGCAGCACACCCCTCCTCGGTCCGACGCTTCGTAGCGGCCAGTCTAGCCTTGAGCTCGTGTTGTTTCGCGACCGCCTCCTTAGCCTGCTCCCTAAAGGTCCCAAAGGCCTGGAGGGCCGCCTCCTTGAAGATCCTGGCCAGGCTTTCATTCTGCCTCTTAGCCTGCTCGGTCTCCTCCGCCGACGGCTCCCAATCTGCCGTCTCCAGCCCAAACAGGCCGCCATCATCTGACTGAAAGCACTGAAGACACCCGCCCATGAGACATTCCAGGGATAGGAACGGCTTGGCTGGCTGAAGGGGCTGCTGGGGCTTGACCGTGGACGCGAGCTCCCTGACTGCTGCGGCGTACTGTTCGTTGGCCCTCTCCAGGGCCAGGAACGCATCGGCACTGTCTTTCTTGGCACGCTCCAGGGACTCCTGCAAACCTGCGGCCTTGGCGACCGCTCGATCCAGGGCTGACTGGCACCTCTCCATCTCCTGCTTCGCGGGCCCCCACTGCAGATTGGCCAGCTGCTCAAGGGCACGAAGCTACACACGATACATATTGGCTGCCTCGAAGTCAGAATTGGCCTCGAGAAACTGGATGACTGAATTGAGCTATTCTTTCGAACTTCCCTGAGATTCAAATTGCTTGTAGGGGGGTTTAGTCCAGGCACCAGGAGCAGCACCAGGAGACCCAGCACCAGAAAGACCGGACTGACTGGCACCCCACTCCCTTGGCCCCCGGCTGGAAACTTTGGTAGTTCCCGACACCTGTCCACTGGCGCCCGCAGATCTTGCACCACGTGTACCATGACTTGTTAACGTTGCATCCGCACGCCCCACAACATCAATTCCCTGCCCGAGAACCGTGCGTTCCTTCTCCACCTCCTCCTCCTCCTCCTCCTCCTCCTCCTCCTCCTCTCCTCCTCCTACTCCTACTCCTCCTCCTCCACCTCCTCCTCCTCCTCCTTCCCCCTCTACTCCTCTCCTCCTCCTCCTCCTCCTCCTCCTCCCTCCTCCTCCTCCTCCTCCTCCTCCTCCTCCTCCTCCTCCTCCTCCTCCTCCTCCTCCTCCTCCTCCTCCTCCTCCTCCTCCCCCTCTTCCTCATCCCCCTCCCCTCCTCCTCCTCCACCTCCTCCTCCTCCTCCTCCTCTCTTTCCTCCTCTTTCTCCTCCAATTACTCCTCATCCGCATCCCTCCTCTCATCCTCATCCTCATCATTATCCTCCCCTCCTCCTCCTCCTCCTCCTCCTCCTCCTCCTCCTCCTCCTCCTCCTCCTCCTCCTCCTCCCTCCTCCTCCTCCTCCTCCTCCTCCTCCTCCTCCTCCTCCTCCTCTCCTCCTCCTCCTCCTCCTCCTCCTCCATCCTCCTCCTCCTCCTCCTCCTCCTCCTCCTCCTCCTCCTCCTCCCTTCCTCCTCCCCTCCTCCGCCTCCTCCTCCTCCTCCTCCTCTCCTCCTCCTCCTCCTCTTCCTACTCCTCTCCTCTTGCTCCTCATCCCCCTCCTCCTCTTCCTCCTCCAATTCCTTCTCATCATCCTCATCCTCATCCTCATCTCATCCTTCTCCTCCTCCTCCCTCCTCCTCCTCCTCCTCCTCCTCCTCCTCCTCCTCCTCCTCCTCCTCTTCCTCCTCCTCATCCTCCGAATTGTCATGATCATGTTCCTGGTCCTCCTCCTCATCCTCCTCCTCCTCTTTCCCCTCCTCCTCTTCCTCCTCCTCATCCATATTGATATGAATCTGCACCTTCATTGCCATCGTCGTCATCGTCATTTTCATCATCCCCCTCCTCCGCCTCCACTTCGGCCACCTCTCCTCCTCCCTCCTCCTTCTCCTGCGCCCCTTCCGTCCACCCCCTTTCTCCTCCTCTTTTCCCTTCCCGATCCACAACCTCCTCCACCTCCTCCACATCCTCCACCTCCTCCTAATCCACATCCTTCTGGATTCCCGCACCCACCCCCACCACCACCGCCACCTGCCACCGCGGACGACCCTGGCCGAACACAAACCCCGCGGAAGACGACGACGACGACGACGACGACGACGACGACGACGACGACGAGAACGACGACGACGACGACGACGACGACGCCCACGACGACGACGACCACGACCACGACCACGACCCCGACCACGACCCCGACCACGACCACGACCCCGACCACGACCCCGACCACGACCACGACGACCCCGACGACCACGACGACCACAACGACCAGGACGACCACGACGACGAACGGCAGCGGCGGCCCCAGACATGCGATGTCTTGCTTTGTTCCACACGGGGTGCCCTGGAGTCCCGACCCTTTCCCCGGGTGTGGTTCTCATCCCGAATCGTTGCTTGACTGTCCCGGGGCCCAAGCGAGGACTGCCAAGGGCCGGAGACGGCAAAAAACCTTCCGTCGTGATCTCTCAAGATGACCGAACATTCGGGGATGGACAGATCCCCCTCTAGCAAAACGTGGTTTCGTGAAAGCGACCTCGGGCCCAAACCTGGCGGGCGCCAAGCCTGGAAGATGACGGCCGCGGCGCCCTCTCGAGAACCGCGAACGGACAATTCACTAATCGACGCGTCAGGGTAGGAGGTCTGTCCACCCCCGAAGAACATCCGGGGCTGCGGCGGCTGAGCTTCATGCGGTCCTGTGAAGGGGCCCTGGGACACACGAATAAATACACACAAATAGAAGGATTCCCCCTATTTTCCCATATTCTCTGGGTTTTTGTCTTCCCCCCCCCCCCTGCCCTGGGGGTCGACGATGAATTCTGTCTGTGTGTTTTTTCCCCTCCTGATGGTGCAAATCGTGGCCGGCGGCATGTGCGCGGCCCAGCGGGGGGGCCGGGGACGCCATGGAGTAAGAAGAGGCGCCGTGAAATCTGGGGAAATGGCATGGCCCACGCCATGATGCCCCCACCCCCACCCCTAAGTCATCCCCCCCCTCTCTGCCGCCCCCGAGGGTACGGGGGCCTGTCCACCCCCGAAGCACACCCGGGGCTGCGGCGGCCGAGCTTCTTCCCAGCGGTCCTGCTGGCTCCACGCCCGGGGCCCCTGCCGCTCCGGCGGCTCCGCGGCCGACCAGCACGGCTGCCGGCCCCGGTCTCGGCCCTGGCCTCGGCGTTTTGTCTCCCCCCGGCGGAGCGGGCCGGAGGGCCGCTCCCGGCACGAGCTTCGCGACGACAGGGCAGTTTTTAATACACTTGTTTCTTGTTGTTTTATTTTCATTTAAAAAAATAACAAATAATATATTTATATATAGTATATATCTAGTATATATCTAATATATATATATGTATATATATGTATAATGTATGACTAATGTGTGAATGAATTTACGCATGAACTCATCGCTGTTTTTAATGCGAAACCCCTGCATTGTTAATACATGATCCGCACGCGGAGCATGTATCAAAAACGGCACTGTACCCCGCCCGCCTCCTCGGGTCGTTTTTTTGTTCCCGCCGCGAAGTGAACCGATACTGCCTGTGCGACGAAAGCTCTGCAAAGGCAAGATGCGTCTGTCAAGGTGGACCTATGGAGGTGGTGAGCTTGACCAAGAGGCCGTAAAACATTGTATGCCTGATGTGAGATCCAAAAATGGTTCAAAATGACCTGGCACTGGAGGCTGCACGCCGGGGTGGAATTTCAAATCACTGCTCGCAGAGCGAGAATCGGAGAAGCTCTCGTGATGCGACAGTGTGCGAACACGTTTGCGGGGCTCACAGCCTATGAATGTGCGGGCCGTCAGGCGGGGCCCGCGCCCGAACGTACGAATTCCGATACTTCCCTGTGCCGCACAGCGCAGATCTGATGACACGCTGCATGGCGTCCCTGGCGTGAATATGGCCCGCCCGACGGCGCCCGCGGAGACCGCAAGACCGAGACAGGAGAAAACAGCTGGGCTGGTCGTGGAAGGGGAGACCTGCGCCTGGCATCATTGGCGGTGCGCAGAGGGGGGTGGAGGGAGGGGGGAGGGCTTCTTAGGAGGAGGATGCCTCTTAGAAGGCGCCGGCCTCTCATCTATAGACAAGGCCCGCGCCTTCGAAGAAGCAGGGGTGCTTCTAAGAAGCCCTCCCCCCTCCCCCCACCCCCCTCTGCGCGTGGCAGACATCACGCTTCCAAGCGCACGCACCCCAGCTCAGAGAGGTGGCGCGGGCAGGGGCACTGGACAGACCTCGCGCACAGCGTCCAGCCGTTCCACGCGCGGCAGCCCTCTGCCACCGGAACGGCGCCGGCCACGACGACCTCCAAAAACTTAAGTACACACGCCGTCGGCATCGGCGCTGCGCTCCCGGCGGGACATGCCGGGACCCGAGCCGACCGCACCCCCGGCTCGAGCCGCAGTGCCCGGAGCAGTGCCAGCGCTCGCTCATAGAAGCTCCCGGAGGCGGAGCGCGCTCTGCACCTCCGGTTGCCATTCACCTGATTCCCTACCAGCCCGAGGTCCACGAAGAGCCCAAACAGAGGAAGAAAAAACGCCATAAGCATAAACTTTTGGCGTTCCGCGCGGAAACCCCCCTCCCTGGCGCGCGGAGCGCGCCAGGGGCGGCGCTCGAGGCGCCACCAGAAGGGCCCCGACGCGGATCCAAAAAGTCCGCGCGGAGCGCCAAAAGTTCAAATGCATTGCGTGTGTTCTTCTTGTAGCAAAAGACGGTGCGATGCTATCCATAGCATGATGTATGCACTTTCCTAAGCAAGCGAATTCGGCATGGCTGTTGCTACTCACACCCCAAGAAGCAACCACAACCAGCGTTGCCCCTGTGGGCTCCATCGGCATACCGCACACAACCGTAGGAGGCCTGACGTTCGATTGCTGCGCCCTGGTTGCGCGCTGCGCCGTCAGAGGCATAGACCACGACACCTGTTTCAAACTCAGACGGCAACGCGCATCCGTCGCCGTTTTTGCCCTGTCGTGGTGGCCGAGTTCCCCGTTAACCACGGATCGTTGCTCAATCGCTCGGCGTGCTGGACCATGTCATCAGATGGAAACGCCTCCCATCCAGTTGCAAGCGACGCAGGCGCGCAACCGCACGATTGAACGCCAAAACACATTGCAAGACGGAAGCACTCGGAAGCAGGTCTTGGAACCACCTGTCACAGGATGCGAATCGAGAGCACTGCGTAGGGAAACAGGCTTGTAGAGATGCAAGATCAAGGCAGACATCTGTGGCTGACCGAATCCCGACTAACAGCACCACAGAACGGACAGGGCAACACAAAGTTACACTCACTGGCACCAACCTGTGCGACGTAAGCGCGCCATTCCGCATGATGTCAAGACGGTGCCCTCCAGGAACACTCTTTTTTGGTCAGCGGGGCGAGAGCGAACCTCTTCCAGTAAAAGCTAGGCGGGCTACGCACAGCTCTAATTGGGGAGACAGGGCATAGGCGGTGCCCTCCAGGAACACTCGACGGCATGTTCCGCAGATTCTGGTCGACATGTCCAGGAGAGGCCGCCCGCATGGAGCCGCATCCTGACAAGCGTTGGGGCTCCGCGAGCCTCGGTCTGGTGGAGGTCGGCACAGACAGCGCTGCCAACCAGCCTCCTTGGCTTCGTAACTGTTCGGGTTTCTCCTTTCGCTCAGTGCCTGGGATACCGTGTGCCGCGTGATCGTGAAAAATGCTCCGAATGCTTTCGCGCAGGACAACAGCAGCAGCCACAAGGTTGAGCTTGCAGCCGGCAGCGCAAGATTTCGCATTCTCGACATGATCTGCCGAAGATCAATGCGACCTGCAGTTCCATCCGGAGCGAAGTGGATAACAGAGCAGCAACATTCACCAGGAACGGGTCCGCAGCGTCGACCGATGTACGAAATAAACTTCTTGCGTGGCAAAACACTGGACAATGGCACCAACTCACGCGCTAAGGGAAGGGCGATGCCATTCCACGAACCTCGTTAAAAGCAGCTTCGTTGAGAAAGTGGAGCTCCATTATGTACGAAAGCAGCGGCAGTGCAAACACGCTCCATGCTAGGAGACTCGCGCCAAAACCTATTTTGACTTGTCTCTGCCGCAACTTGGCAGTCGGCTCAGCCACGACAACAGCTTCGCTCGCTCCAGACCCGTACCAGAAACCGAGAAATTTGTGCCCGCACACAATGTGGGATTCTTCGGACAGTGAATGCAACCATTGCAACTCATGTTGTACAAGGTCTCACGAGTGGGTATCCAACATGTGTTGGCTCTGTTGATGACTTGTCCTGAGGCTTGCTCAAAAACACTTACCAGTACGACGACGTGCGCCGTTGCAGCACTACCGTCGAAATCGATGTTCCAATCATCGCAACAGCCCCAAACATGACCCAGCCCTGTCAGCTGCGCCGCTTTGTACATAAACGGATCCACTCCGATGGTGTAGACAAAGACGCTGAGAGGAGGTTCCTGACTGTACCCCGCTTGCATACGCAAGGCCAGAAAAACGTGTCCAGAAAAGCACAGGCACGCTGTGTGGCAACGCATTGGCTTGAACATACCTTGGGCGATTAGCTGCGGCAGACGGAGAAACGACACGACGAGAAGACTTCAGCCGTCAGGAACAGAGCTCGGAATGAGAGAACTGCCCCCCGTGGGAAGGGGTTGGGACCTCAGGGGGGCCCGCGCCACGAGAAAGCACGACGTCGGAGGTCTGGGCTGGCGCCGCCTCGATGGCAACTCCTGGGAGCCTCCCACACCCATCTTGTCGGCTCTTGCGAATCGACGCCAGTCGACGCCAATCGACGCCAAGTCGACGCTGAATCGGCGCTCCTCGACGCTGACCAACGCTGAATTGGCGCTACCTCATCGACGCCCAGGCGCGAATCGACGCCAATCGGCTCCCGTGCTGTGCTGCCGAAGGCGCCGCGCAGGCTCGCCTCGAGAGCGTCGCGCCACCGCACGGAGGGAGCACGGGCCGCCTGCACCGGGCGAGGCTCGCGCCCTCGCGCCCTCGCGCCGCGTGCCGCGGGGAGCTCGCCGCAGGTCGCGCGGGGAGCGGTGCCCCGCCAGCAGCGGGCCCTCGGCTCAGACTTCCCCCTTCTGCATGCCACGGCATGCGGAGGGAGATTTTTGATGCGCGCGGGGTGCACGGGTGGAGGGCGGCTTCCGCTTCAGAGCGGGAGTGTCGGAGGAACCGTCCTTCTTGCCCTCTCGTCGTTTCGTTTCCGGCCGCCCTCCGAGGCCTCAAGACGGCCCCGAGATAGCCCAAGCGGGCTCCAAAGGGGGTCCAAGACGGCCGCAAGAGCGCCCCAAGAAGGCCCTGAGAACCGACATTGGAGGCCCCGGAGGGGCAACCGTAATTGAGTACCCCCCTTTTTGGTCGAGCTCCTCCAAGATGGCCGCAAGTGGGTATCCAAGGCTCCTAAGAGTGCCCCAAGAGAGGCTCAAGAGGGCCCCAACAGGCCCCAAGGACATCCCATGTAGCCCCACCGGGCCCTCAGATGGCACCAAGATGGCCCAGATAAGCTGTCAAGAGGCTCCCATGTCAAATGGGAGGAGGGCGGAGGGAGGAGGGAGGAGGGAGGAGGGAGGAGGAGAGAGGGAGGAGGAGAGAGGGAGGAGGAGGAGGAGGAGGAGGAGGAGGAGGAGGAGGAATTCGAGTTGACTCCTGCTGCTCAGGCGGGTCCCGATCCTCGGCCTGACCGCTGCCCCCCCTCGCGCTTCTCTCCCACACGTCCTTGATCAAAGCAACTCACCTGGGCAACTTTGCTGGATGGGCCTGGTGGGTTTTTTGGGGGGTCGCAGCCGCAAGCGAAGGCGCAGGCGGCGTCAAGGGTCGACCCGGGCTGCGGGCGGAGCCTAATTACCCAGCGAGCGCACTCACGGCTGCCGAAGCTGCCGCCGAGGGATGCTGAGTGGCGCCGGGGGCTGAAGGCAGGCTGCAGGAGCTGCCAGGACCTGGTGGGGGTACGCGAAGCGTCAAGGATCGAGGCAGAAGGCAGGGCAACCAGCGGCTTCGGCGAGACCGACCGCTTCGGCGAGGACGAAGCCTCACACGTAGAGTTTGGCCCGCTTCCAGCCTGGTTCTGTGCAGCAGCCGAGCTCGGAGGCGGGGCCTGGACCCTGGCTCCTGCCTGTGAGTATGCGAAGGAGCAGGCTTCGGAGGATCGCGGGGGCCATGCCGAGGAACTCCGTCATGACCGACCAGCGCGGCATGGCGGCGGGCACCGCCCTGTACAGCACGACGAGCGGCACGGGGGAGCGAGGAGGAGGAGGACGGAGGGGAGAGAGGCGGGGGGTGAGGCAGGAGGGAGGGAGGGAGCACCCTCGGTAGGGGATGGGGCCCAGACACTCGACGTCTTAATTCTGCAAGTCCCGACCGACCCTTGCCCCAGGGCCGGCCGGTTCTTCATCCCGAGTCGCTCTGTGACAGCCCCGGGGCCCCGCAGGGCCCCCAAAGGCCGAAGACTGCCAGAAACCTTGAGTCGTGATTTTCCCGCGACGCGAGCATGGCTGAGGAGGGAGGCCTGCTGGCGAGGGATGAGGTCGACCACGAC